TAAAAGAGCTTCTTCATTCCCTTGGGGAAAATTGAAAATTGGAAATGTTGAATTGGTACCCAGAAGTCAAACTTGTATTTAGGGAGGGGAAACTTTCCTAAGTTGTGAAATGTCAGTTTGGCCACTCTTCATGGTTCCCAAATCCCCTCTATTCACACCTGCTACTTAGTTGGGTCCAGGAGCTAGCTGCATGAGAGCTCTACTTCTGGAATAGGAATTGGCTTCTGTGCTCCTTTGAAACATATGTGGTTCCTTACCGCCATGTAATTCTAACTAAACAAAACAGATACTTCCCTGTGCCCCATTTTCAGAAAGTTATATGATAGCCAGAGAAGAGAGGGGCTCATGGATGTACTGATTTGCTTTCTAAACACCCTCCCTGCCATGGATCGGGCTGAAGCCACAGATCAAATTGGCAGCTGTATGTCCCATCGACGCCTTCCATGTGGGTGGCAAGAACCCCATCATTTTTAAGGCATCTCACATCCTGTACTCATAAGAAATGTTCAGGAACCAGGAACCAGAGTTGAAAGTCAAACTTGGATTTACCTATGTAAGATGCAGGCATGCTAACAGGTAGACCAAACTGCTGCCCGTCTGCTCCCATCCATTTAAGGAGAGACTGTGGCTGCATCTTGGGAGGTTCTCAGTGAGGAGGAAGACTTAGAGATTAAAGCAGGAACTCAGAAGCACAAAGAATTCCCAAGAGCGATTGTGTAAATTCAGATATTATCAAGTCACAAGAATGTGGAGGTGGAGGTTGTGAGCAGCTGAAGAGTCCATCAGGCATTCCTCCTGAGTGTTTCACTTAGATGTTAGGCACCTGAGAGCTGGGGGGGTGGGAGTGGGGCAGCCACACAGAGCCTCATCATGAGCGAGGAAAGGGGGCCTCGGAGGGAATGGGTAAGGGTCTCAAGCAAGTAGGTGGTGCAGCAGAAAATTCACACCCAGGTTTGTCTGGCTACCAAAGTTGTGTCTGTATCATGGGCTTCTTGGCACGTTGGCCTCTGCTGCACAAAGGGACTTCAGGTTTGATTCTCATGTAACACTGTACTTGCAAGCTGCTTCAGGCATTTTCTGGGTGGCCTGCTGCAGTATGTTTCTGGCCCTCCACACTGTGATATGTTATTCGAGTTTTAGCACTAGAGACAGCCTCATCCTGACTTCCCTGGTTGAGTGGTGACATGTGAGGAATGAAGGAAGCTGGCCCGCTGGCTTTACACCAACTCCATTGGGCACTTTAGTACCGCATGGATTACTTCCTTCTCTGAAGCACATTTGCTTGTCATCATGGCACTTTAATTGTTTGCCTTTCCCCTGATGGAAAAGGAGACCGTAATGAGAATGACTTCATTTTCTCATCAGAAGCCAACTATTCTATTTGCTTGGGCCACTGAGACAGCTTTTAGGATCCTGCTCCTGAGTGTTCTAGGGGCTGTCATTTTGTTGTTGGTGTTATTGAAGAGAAGTTGGACATCTCCATTTCTGAAATGAAATACACCAGTGTTTAAAATCTGTTTTTTTTATATTATTTTTATTTGCTCAGTATATCCCATTGATCCATTCCCCAGATGGGTAGAATTGTTGAGACTGGACTGTACTGAAGCCAGTAGCCAGGAATTCATTTAGTCCAGGTCTCTCCTGTGGATGGCAGAGACCCAGATATTTGTACCATCCCCTGCTATTCCCCCAGGTGTGCTTAATGGGAAGTTGGCATTGGGAACAGAGCCTGAATGCAAACTCCCTTGTAGATGTAGGCATCCCAGGCAGCACATAATTATAGCTCCCAATGCCTGCCTCTGAAATAGCTCAATTTCTAAATGTTGATACTGTAAATGACAACTGAATTAAATACTTAAGCCACTATCTGTTGCCTTTGGAGCGGTCCCTTTTATCTACCAGTGTGAGAGATGGTGCAGTGCTGACTCTACGCAATGAATGCTGCTCGGCTGGACAGGATTTAGTTGAACTGAGGGCAGGCAAGGAGAAAGGTGTGGACTCACGTTTCTGCTGGACAGGTGCTGATCCTGGGAAGCAGGAAAGGGATGGCTGATGAGATTTCCTTATCTGTGTTGACTGTAGTCTCCTGTGGGAGTTGCTGACTCATCCATTCTGATTGAACTTGTTGCCTGTGTCAGGATAGTGAGGCAGCTGCCCAGATAAAGACAGAATATGAATCAAGAGAAAGCCCTTATGGTCTGATTGGAAACAAACCAGGGTGCCCTGTTTTCTCATTGCGCTGCCGTGGTTCATCCTTATGATCCAGTAAGTCTCTCCCATATTTCAGCTGGCAGGAGGAGAAAGGGTAAATGAGGGAGGGCTTCTGTGCTTTACACAAACGAGCCAAACATGGATTCTATCACTTCATTCATCTCTATCCACAGAGCATGGTGGCATGGCCTCAGTCCAAGAGAGTCTGGAAAATGTAGACTTTTAAGAGGATGTCTATCAACTAAAAAAAAAAAATTATAGAGAATGGGGATTGTATGTTAGTCAGCAGTTTGTTAATTTTCTACTTCAGACTCTCAGAATCTGTGAGCTCAAGTATCTCTTATTGTGCATGCACTTAAAAATTTTTGACTATTTTAGCAAGTTCCTAGTAGCAGACAGAAGATGATACTGTAAGTTTAGCTTGTTTTATGGGTTCTTACAACCTTCTCTATTCCTGGTTAGACTGACATAGCATGGTGAGTTTTTGTTTTGTTTGTTTACATCCTTAATTTTTAGCATTACATTTCAAACTTTTAGACCTGAGGACCACTTTGTGCTCTTAAAAGCTACTGAAGATTCTACTTTGTTTAAATGGAATATGTACTTGTGCTTATTGCATTAAAAATGAAAATGGACAGTTACAAGAATATTGAATAGTACAAGTAAGTTCCCCCTTGAAATCTCTACTATTCAAATATGAAAGACTGACGCTGAAAACATGTGTTAACATTATGAACTCCTGTTGACATCCCAGGGCTCCTGATGGGATCATAGGGGCCCTGGAGCACACATGGAGAGCCAGAGATCTAGAGAACATTTTTTGTTCATGTTGACTTTGGTGATTGTTTACATTGCAACTTTACCTGCCAGGATTGGAAATGAATTAAACTAGGGAGAGGCATGGTCATCAAGTAATTACTGGTACAAAAAAAAAAGTTGAATGGCCAATCTGTGAGCCTCTTTCAATTTAGCAAGAGTTTAATTCTATTACTGAATCACAAATAACTTTAAGTATGGGGCGTAATAGTGATTATTTTCATCTGTAGTAGTTTAGTAAGTTCTGGTGGTGATAGGTGTTGAATTAAATAAGCATTTTATGCATAAAGGAGCTCATTATAGCTTATTTGTTTTTATGTACAGTTATGATTGATTTTTGCCACACAACTGGGAATCCACCTTTACTCACTTGACACATCCCAATGCTCCCTATAGAAGTGCTAAGTGCTAGGCATAGTGTTTGCATTGTCAGGTACCATTGTAGTCAGGCTGGCATGTGACTTGGGCTCCACTGCACATATAGCTCTCTCAGGCTTTGGCCTGGTCGTTGGAAGATCACTATGTCTCTGCCTTTCATTTATTTGAAAATAAATAAATAGCAGGTAAAAACAAAACTAAATGGAAAGGCCCAGTGTGGTGGCCTAGCAGCTAAAGTCCTCATCTTGAATGTGCTGGGATCCCAAAGGGTGCCGGTTCTAATCCCGGTAGCCCTGCTCCCCATCCAGCTCCCTGCTTGTGACCTGGGAAAGCAGTCAAGGTTGGCCCAAAGCCTGAGGACCCTGCACCTGTGTAGGAAACCTGGAGGAGGTTCCTGGCTCCTGACTTTGGATCGGCACAGCTCCGGCCATTGCGGTCACTTGGGGAGTGAATCACTGGATGGAAGATCTTCCTCTCTGTCCCTCCTCCTCTCTGTATATCTGACTTTCCAATAAAAATAAATAAATCTTAAAAAAAAAACCTAAATGGACTCAGACCTCTGTGGGTTTGTAAGTCTCAGCTTAGATGCTTTCAAGGCACTGTAAAGTTTAAGAACAACTGTCCTAATGTTTCTAACTTGCAAAATTATTTGCTCAATGTTTAGGTATCTGAGTAACTCTTATAAGAAATAACTGTGGTTTCTACAAGGCCCTGGTCAAGTGTTTCCTTGTCTCCACCACCCCTATATGTTTTAATTCCATCTCTAATGCCTTAACTATGGTTCTCACTGAGGCACAGTAATTCCCTGGTTGTGATTACCTCTATTCTCAGGGTGCCTGAATTGTTTACCCAGGTACTAAGCTCTTCTGTCACTGCGGCTCTCTTCAGGGTGTTTCTTGTGCATTTTTGTAACCTGCAGGCTTAGAGTTCACTGTTAAAAGTCTCTGATTAGGCAGACACAGCCAGGACATTCTGATTGGCTTCACAGCAGCAGATATGGGGCCTTGCAGTATCTTCAATATCTCTTCATTCCTACTCTAAGAAGAGATGTGCCTTTACATTGCCTTGCTCTGCTAGTTAGAGGCCAATTACAGGTCTCATCTTACTAAAAAAAAAAAAAGAGGGGATTGCACAGCTCCACAGATCCCATGAAGCCATCTCAGAATTCTGCCAACCGTAAGTCAGAGGCAGAGTTTAAACCCAGCCCTGCTCCAGGTTAAGAGACAGCGCCCCAGCATTCACACCCTCACTGCAGTGACCATCCTTCTCCCCCTGAAGAAAGCAAACATGCTCAATAGTTTGGGACAGAGTTCAATGTAAGATAACATAAAGTGGACTCATGGGATTCCAGGCAAACATTAATTCCCTTCACACCCCCACCTTTAGAAGTCAGCATCAAGAAATCAAAACCACCTGCAGTTTTGCATTTTCAGGAAGAGACTGCCAGCTGTTCTAAATACTTGGTCTATGTAAGTGATTGGAATTGGTTCATATTTTTTGTTTTTTAATGGAGCAGAAATTACCCTGGGACTTGGGATTTGAGACATGGGTCCCCAAGAAATAACCTGAGCTTTACTTTATGTTTTTTGAAACAGATGAAGTGACCAAGAAGCAAAAGGGGAACATCTTCATTTTGTAGGAAGGACAACATGGACCAGCCATTTACTGTGAATTCACTGGTAGGTAGCACCACGGATATTTTACAGATGATTGGAAAGTGACGAAGGAAAAACAGAAACGCCAAGTGTGGAATAAGTCACAATCACCCTAGAAGTTTAGCATTTTCAGTCCATCCGTATGATCATCTCCTTTGAAGATGTGACGAAGGAGACCATCTTCACAAACCTTAAAAACATGTTTCTCAAAAAGAGGTGACATTTTAATTTGTTCAGATTCCAGAAGTATAGACCTTTGCGGGGAGGGAGGTGGGGAATTCTTGAAGAGAATCTAAAGTTGACATTAAAAACAGATACTTAAGCATCTCTGTTCTTCAAAAGTAAAAATGTGTGGCTTACTTTAGTGCTGATAACTGAGGAAGACATTATGTATTTAACATCCTCATTATTACTTTGGGATCCATCATGGAAGAAATTCTGATCCTTCTCACCTTTTTCCTCATTGTCTAAGGCAGTGAGCACTTTCTCTGGCAAGGGCTGTAGAAAAGCAAGTGTTGGAGAGGAAGTAACAGGGGCCTGGACCACGTGGGCTCATTTTGCATTGCATCTCATCTCTGATGAGAGTGAACACACGCATATCACACGATCTCTGTGGCCCTTAGTTTGCATTTGCCTTATGACAATTGAAGACAGTCATTTCCACCACCTGGGTTATTAATAGTGGCTTCATAAACGGAAGCTGCCATCGCGATTCTGTGCGTGACCTTCCCTAATGCACTCACAGCAACCCTGTCCAAGTAGCACAGTGTGCAACGGGGTACTGAATATCCTGTGTGTGCAAAGCCTAGCACTAGGACATAAAAAAGATAGGGCTGGGCTCTTGAACTGAAGTAGGTTGTGACCTAATTTCCACTCAACCAAGGAAGTCCTTCACAGGAACTCATTTGATTGCAGTGTGTGCTTGACAAGCAGAGATTTGAAAGATATTTTCCATGTCCTGGACCCTATATTGTCATTCCAATGTGGGATTTTAAAGAATGCCCCATTTCTGCCTGCAAAAGGACTCATCATTATAAGGTTTCTTAGGTGTTATTTCCAGAATGTTCAATGGACATAATTAAAATTTTATTGCATATGGCATTTCAAAAATGAACACCAAAACTTTTTTATTTGAAGAAGCTGTATTTTTATCCAAGAAACTCACATGCAAATGAAACGTAGATGATGAAAAGTTTAGGTTATTTCCCAGCTTATCTCAACTTTAAATTTAGGAAGGACAGGACTCAGAAAGGAAAAATTAATTTTGTTTTTTTCCTCAGGGAAAAGATCATCTAGTATAGACTTGTTGCTATGTTTCTCCACTTCTTTATCTTTTATTTGGTGCATTAATTGATTGTTGTCTGTGTTTTGAGTAATAATATATTACATCCTGGAGAATGGAAATGAATAAAGAATGATTTGAAATCCCAAGGAGTTCATAGGAAGTTTGAGACACTTGCAGAGCAATAATTAGGACCCATGCGGACTGTTAATAATAAAACATGGACAGATTTCGTCTGTACCTGTTGGAGACTGCAGGCCCCTTTAGAAAGTACTCTAATTTCCATAATTTTTTTTGCTGTCTTTTGATGTGATTAAGGAAATTATCTGTAGGTGAGTAATAACATTTTCACTCAGTGCTGTTGAGTCTACAGGCGAGCATGCTTAGGAAAAGGTGAATGCAATGCCACCGTGTTAACTGGAAAATTCCTGAAATACAGAGGCTGGGTTCAGAGTTCACTGATGTTTGACTCTTACCTGGGGAAACTTCCCACCACTTCTCTAAAATTAGAAAGGCTTTCAGGGCCCCTTGGAAAGCAGTGAATCCAGAGTATGAATAGGAAAAGGTGGTTTTAGCTCAAGAGTAAGTTAAGTAGGAAGAGCCTGAGTACTGTTGTTGCTGTCAGCCACACCTCTTGAAGAACTGGACCCAGTAAAGCTAGATCAAAGGTGCCACATGAGAATAAAAATCAAGGATGTCCTTTATTCCTGAGGACTTCAACCAGGAAGTTCTCTCCTCCAGAGAACATGGAAGACTGAAAAAAATCTTAACCTCTTCTGCTGTTACCTGGCCTGTCCTAGCCACCAGTCCACAAGACCAACAGCTGGAGACCTTCAAAGAAAGGAAGCCCCAGGCCCTGAGAGCTTCCTTAAGGAGGGAAAAATGCCTGAAGGGTTTGCTCATATTGTTTCTGGCCAGGTGAGTGGGGTAGCAGCAGGTATAAGAGGTGTGGTCTGCCTCTGACTTAATGGAAGGTTGAGAAATGAACCCTCTGAGTATATATAAAACCTTTAGAAGCCAGAGTGCTTTCAGATCCCTGAAGTTGCATCTTCTAAAAACATTACCATCCAAGTTGACTAGATGGCAGTGGAAGAATCTCAGACATGTGATTCACTGCACCCTGCCTGTGAAGGTTGGCTCAGTAAATAAATCCTAGCCAAACTAAAGCCATGTCCACCTTGATTTCTTTTGTAGCTTTCTACAAGACCACAGTCAATGCACTGCCTTCACTATAGAGAGATTTGAACCCTCCCCTTACCTGCCTGAAGAGGGCTTAGAAAGCTGTTTGCCGCAGTCATGGAGATAGCAGTAGAGTGGTCCAAAGCAATCCTTCTCCAACAGAAACGTGCCTGACTCGCTCCAGGAGCACCGGTTAAAACATTCGTTCTTAGCTCACCTGCCGAGATCCCGAATCTGTGGATGGGAAGAAAAGCATTTTTTTAAACTCCCATTTGCTATTGATGCTGCTGATGTGTGGACCAGTACTCTGAGACTGACGGGTCTTAGATCTAGCATCAGTGAACTATGAAGCCAGAGCTTCACTCATAGGATTCTTGGCTGGGAATTTGCTTCATATTGGTTTAGCTGCTTTTTACCCAAAGAAACCTGCATTCAGATTGTGTCATGGATCTGAAAGTATTTTCTATCTTAACTGAGACAGCATCGCTTGCCTTTCTAACTTGTAATTGAATACTTATCTTGAAAACATGTATTCTCTGCTTTTCCAAATGTGTGCACACTGCTTTTAGTGATTAGTTCATTTGTATTAATACCAGTGACTTTTCTTAGTGATGTCTTGTTTTCTTAGTCAAGCAGTAATTTCAACATAATTACTTGTTCAAAGGCCTAAGCACATTTTTGTTGTTTTAAAAAGTTGAGGAAGTGTCTTGGTGCTTCAGAAGGCTTCTTTGGGACCTTCTGGCGGATTTTCCTTTCCATCAGTGAAGACAACAATGAGTCCCTGAAAAGTTCTCACTAGATCTATTCTGGCACAGAACTGAATCCTAGAAGTGCTAAGTCCAATCTACCTGTTGGAAATCCTTCATAGTGGGGTGATGTGGACCTGACCATGGCAGGAATCTACCGAGGGACCACTTCACGTGACCCAATGTAGAAACATCCACGGACACATGAGGGTCAGTCACATTTCACCTAAAACGGTCCCACATGTTTGCATGCTCAGAACTGCAACATGATTGTTCCCTGGAATCTAGAAAGAGGCCCTCCTTCAGTAGAAGTGTAGGTTTACTGAGTGAGGAGGGCTAGAGAAGCTTCTTCCTTGGAGCATGAAATGCTGGGGTCTTTTTGGTTATAGAGATCACGTTTAAGCAAAAAACAAAAGACTTTGTCCCAACTCTTATTTCTTCAAGTGTTGGCATCGATTTTTAAACAGAGGAATACACTCATTATGGCAGTCATCTTCTTCACATCAGGATGTACATCTTGCTTTGCAGAAAAAGCTAGCTGCTATGCCTGACCACACAGATGTTTCCCTAAGCCCAGAGGAGCGGGTGCGTGCGCTCAGTAAGCTTGGCTGCAACATCTCCATCAGTGAAGACATCACCCCACGCCGCTACTTCCGATCAGGAGTGGAGATGGAGAGAATGGCATCTGTGTATTTGCAAGAAGGAAACCTGGAAAATGCCTTTGTTCTTTATAACAAGTTTATCACGTAAGTCTTCTTCCTTGTTTTGGGGGGAACCTTTGAAATGAAAACAAAATGAGAAAACTGTTTTGATGTGGCCTTTCGTTGCTCCTTCTGTCTGACTAAATTTGTGTATCTTCTAACAACATCTCCCTGACCCTACCCTCCCAGACTCTGGTGCCCACCACTTGCTTCTGAGTTCAGTTTCTTCGATTCTAGATATAAGGGAGATCATGTAGTACTTCTTTGTGCATGGCTTATTTCATTTGTAATTTCACTAATGTAATTGGTTGCTTACCCTGACAACATTTAGGTTAAAAAGACAAAGAACTGCATTTTAAGAACTACATTGTAAGATTATACAAAAGGCAAAATTAAAAACAGTTTACTTGCTATTAAAATTTCCAGGCTGATTAAAATGGTTTATAACCTTTATCCTACCAGGAAAAACTATTTGTCTTATTTGCTTTGATTTTACAAAAGTAAGCAATAAATTTCCAATTGGAGATTAAGTACAACTCATTGCTGGCCAAGATTTAAAAAAATATTTTGTTTCTGAATGACAGGTTGCTGATGGATAATATATGTCTTTTTTGTTTTGTTTTGATTTTGACCTTTGGCTTGAGCCTTGCACACATCCGCTGGCATCTCGAGTGTGATGATGAAGGGATTGTTGCCTCAGTACAGATTCACAGTTAGAAGTTATTGATGGACACACACCGATGGTACTCATTCATCAGCGGTCGTTTGAGTCTTTTGCAAGGATGAGAAGGAGCTCACATCGCTCGTTCCCAGGTCTGACATTTCCCAAGCCCTTTGGTTACAGCAGCACACAGTATAGAAGAGTGGCCAGCACCTGAGATAAACCAGACTTGGTTTGATTAGGAAGTATCCTGACCATCACTCTGTTAGCTTCAGTACTTAGTATGCTGAGCTTACCTACCTTGTGGTGCCAAATAAGACTTGCTTGGGTCAAATTTCATAGAAAAGGCAGGCAGAAAGTTGTTAAGTAAAACACTATTGACCATATCCACGTTGTGAAGGCTACTTACTGTATCAGAAACCACCACTGTGTGCCTGCTGTCAAATCATGCTAAGGATGCCATGTGTTTTTTTCCCCTTTCTGTAGCTTGTTTGTAGAAAAGCTTCCTAGCCACCGAGATTACCAGCAGTGTGCAGTACCCGAAAAGCAGGATATTATAAAGGTATCGTGGGGTTGATTTCCTGCTGTGGGATCCAGTGCTCCCTAAGTACCCAGTATTGATCCACCGTCTTTCCTTTCTGCCTCTCTCTTGTCCTTTTGGGAGTTTGAGCACAAGAAACTCATTCCATTAACCGGTGTTTCGATTTCTTCTTCGACTTTTAATGATCACTACTGAGACCATCTGGGGTGTCTAATTGATGCTTTGGTATTGTGGGGGGTTGAGGAAGAAAGCTGTTGGGGATGTGCTCAGCCACTTTTGGTGTGATGAAGAATTAGTCTTTGTTTCCTCCCAGAGGTGAACAGAATGGTTGAATGTTTCCTGAATTTATTGGAGGCAGTCATTTTTGATTGGTTTTGATTTTGTCCTTATAATACCCAACTTTAATAAGTTTTGAAAGTCAGAATTGTTGTTAAGGAAACCATGAAGTTCTAGCTTTTTTCATATACTTGTGTTGGGATTATAGGCAAAATGTTGAGGCAGTGGCCTGGCTGGAATACTCTCCAGGAAGAAGCAAGGTTGTTATAATGCATTTATTTAATCATCAACTTGTGTTACATAATTGCAAATATTGCTAGCTGAGAAAGGTATCTTTTGAAAGATTATTTTATTAGTCTGCAATGTAGAATTACAGAAAAAGGGAGAGGCAGAGAGAAAGATCTGTCTGCTGCTCAGGCCCCGAGAGGCCAGGCAGAAGCCAGGAGCTTCTCAGTTTCCCGTGCTGGATTGGAAGTGGAACAGCAGGGACACAAACTGGCACCCATATGGGATGCCAGCATCACAGGTGGCAGCTTTACTCACAATACCACCATGCCAGCTCAGGGAATCCATTGTTCTAAATAAGCAACTTAAAATGTTTCATGATATCAGAATGATAGAGTATAAAGCTAATCCTCCATGTGCAGGGCTGGCATCCCATAAGGGCACCGATTCAAAGCCTGGCTACTCCACTTCCAATCCAGCTTCCTGCCTACGGCCTGGGAAAGCAACAGAGGGTCAAGTCCTTGGGTCCCTGCACCCATGTGGGAGACCTGGAAGAAGCTTCTTACTCCCAGCTTTGGACCAGCCTGCCTCTGGCCATTGCTGCCATAAGGGAGTAAGCCAGCAGATGGAAGATCTTTCTCCTATCTCTCTTTTTCAAGTGAAAAGCAAATGTAAAAATATTTCCATTTATTGGGCTTCACTAGTTTGTGTTGGTGTTATATGAAGGAAGAGGAAGCGTCGTACATTCAAAGCCAGGCAGAGCTGTCGTGTCTTGTGTATGACATCTCCCATCTATTTCAGAGTTCTGCTCTCCTTATTGCCAGTGGTATTACTCTTTTCCTATAACTTAGGTTGTCTTTTATTTTTATCCATAGGAGAAAAATTCTCCAAAGCCTATGGCTTTCCTATGTTTATTTTTGTTGGACAGATGGATAGAATGCAACGACGAGCGAATGAGTAAATGAGTGGCAAAGGATTAAGAGAACAGAAATTGTAGTGGAAGAGACAGAGTAGAGGCAGAGGTCTCAGGTTCCCGTCCACGCTGAGCCAGGAGGGAGCTGCATGATACTGATGAGGCTTTCTAGCTGTCCGGACTTATGTCTCATCACCTCTGGGGATGGTGCTGGTTGGACAAGATCACGCTTCCCAGGTCTTCCTACTGTTGAGAACCTCTGGGGGAGTTTTGTTAGAACTAGATCCCCTGACTCCTTCTCCACAGTAGATATGGGAATAAGTCTGGGAATCACATTGTTATAAAAAGTGGCCTAATTGTTCCTTACAGCTGCCATGTCTAGAATCCTTGCCTACCATTTGCTCTCGAATATTCCTTCTCACTCTAATGCTATGTGGTTATCTACCATGGAGTGCGCAATTACAAACTTACCAGCCAGGGGGCACTTGTCAAAGCACAAGCCAGTGCTTAACCAACCAGTGGGTCTGTTAAGGGAAAACTTGTTTCTCTGCTGAAAAGGTGTAATTTGGAGCCCTTAAAAAGAGATATTTGTCTTTTGCCACCATCTTTGAATACTTGTGACTTGATTCCTAATGTGCGTACCAGTTGCTTTTTCTTTCTCAGCTAATGATCTGAAAGAGTATTCTGAAAATCTCACTAATCAATACATATGTGTGTATATGTTTTTAAAAGAAACTGAAGGAGATTGCATTCCCAAGGACAGATGAATTGAAAAAGGACCTCTTAAAGAAATATAATGTAGAATATCAAGAATATTTGCAAAGCAAAGTAAGTTCAATTAGTATACTTATTTCATGAGTATTTTCTGTGCAGATATTTTTTGAATTTCATTCTTATGAGTTTCTCAAATGTTTATGCATTTAAATTAAAAATTAAAGATGTAGTGATATGAAGTCAATAAAAAATTCATGTTAAGATTCAGGTTAAGTACTTGTAACAAAGAGGTAGTATTTTATTCCCCTACAATGTCTAATAAAGCAATGTATTAGGAAATAGATGTCCTACAAAGATTTCAGTAGAACTTTTTTGCCCAATCCTGCTCATGTAACACTGAGTCAAATGGCTGTTCTTGTCCCGATGAATGGAGGCCACAGGAGGTAGAGAGGACAGTACAAGGTTTCTGATGTATGTGATACAGGCCTTGGAAATATAAATTTGAGTCTTCAGAAAAGAAATTTATTTTTTTGGTTTTACTTTTTAAGGGATGTATACATTTATTTGAATCCAGGGGAGGAGAGGTGGGCAGAGACAGAGAGATCTTCCAAACACTGATTTGTTCCCGAATGACTACGACAGCCAGACATGTGCCTGGCTGAAGCCAGGAGCCAGGAGCTTCTTCCAGGTCTCTCACATGGATGCAGGGGCCCAAATGCTTGGGCTGTCTTCCACTACTCTCTCAGGCACATCATTGAATAAGGTCAGAAGTAGACCGGTTGCCTTAACTCTGCTGTGCCAGGAATCAAGCTGGTACCCATATGTTGAAGTGGTTCAACCCACTATGTCGCAGTGTTAGCCTTTTAAACACCAAATCACCATGTATGTCTCAAATTGCACTCTCTCCCTTTTTTAAAATTATATGTATTTGAAAGGCAAATCTACAGAGAAAGAATGACAGGATCTTCTGTCCACTGGTTCACTCCCCTAATGGCTGGAGCTGAGCTGATCTGAAGCAGGAGCCAGGAGCTTTTTCCAGGTCTCCCACATGGATTCAGGGTCAGAAGGGTTTGAGTCACCCTCCACTGCTTTCCCAGGCCTTAAGCAGGGAGCTGGAAGGGAAGTGGGGTGGCTGGGACATGAACTGTCACCCATAAGGGATGCCGCAGCACTGCAGGTGAAGCATTCGCCGCATAAATTTCATACTTAAACCCTGAAGTCAGTGTTACAATAATAACACCCATATAGGCAATGTATAATAACATCAACTATGTGGTGGTTTCTGGATTGTTATTAAATGAAGAGTGAAAATGATAATGATATCTAAGGGACAGGAATGAAAAGAAATTGATACTCAATTCAAAATATGAATTTTTAATTTGATACTTTCACTATTGATGTTGTTTTGCCTTTCTTTTGTGCGTTTATTTGCTTCAAAGTCAGCCATTTGCACTGTCACTTCTGCCCAATGTGACAAGTTCTGAAAATGATTATAGAGCTTCTTGATTTTCTCTGGGCAAAGCCGGAAGGCTGATTTGAGTGCAGTTTGAACTAACTGGTAGATGTTACATAGTTTGATTAGAAACAGGAATGATGAAAATAGTCTTGGAGGTGAAGGGTACAGTTAGGAAGAAAAAGGCCTACTCCCCTTTCCTCTCCACCTCTGTCTCCCCCTGCTGGATCTTGTTGGGATAACAGCTGCACAAGCTGGTCCTCGGACACTTTTGCTTTATACTTCCGAGTGCGCAGTAGCATCCACTATAGAAAGTCCCGTGGGAGCCTCTGAGTAGAAGAGAGGAGTCTTGCCGCAGGCAGCCCTGGCATTCCCTGGGAGTTGGTGCAGGAGCTTGGAGCCCACCCAAGAGCTGTTCAATCAGAATTTGCCAGTTAGCCGGACTCTGGGGCATTGCTGCCCACATGAAGAAAGTGCTGTCACAAACTCACCTGCACCACCCCACCTCACAGTAGCTCCCAAGACCCTTTTTGCTTTAGGTCAGTTGAGGATCTGGTAACAAGTTTATACCCACTGTCCTCATAATGCCTGGGCATATTTTTAGAACTGGGAAGTTTGGGATGTTAAGAAGACTCCTGGTTGGTGAGGAGATGGACGATCGGAACACGTTTTGAGAACCATTACTTGGTGGTTCCCCCCTTGTCTGTCAAATTCCAGCTGAGTCAAATACAGAACATTCAGTGTAGCACTGTCGAGTAGACATTCCCACGAGGAGAGGACTGTTCCTGTATGCATCCGTCTCCAACACAGCAGCCATTGCCACATGTAACTATTGGTTGAGGAGTTGAGTGTCTAATTTTATCAACTTTTAATTACAGTCCAAATAGCTTCATATGGCCACTATATTGGACAGTAGAGTTGAGGGGTGAGCTCTTTTGTTCCGTACAATCTGGTCAACAAGGCTGAACAGACGACCCTAACTGTGATTTTCCAATATTTAGAATTGCGGGGGAATGGAGGAAACCTGTTTGTCATGGGATGACAGGAGTGGATGTAGAATTGCTTAATCGGAATAAAGGGATTTTGCTGTGGTATTGTGCATTTCCCCGGCTGCTGCACGAGAACCCCTGTGCAAGTATTGCTGTATCGGGCTGGCTGCCGATGGGAAGACCGAAAAGGTCTCATCCCAGTTTGACATATTTTTTACCTTAGAAACTAACTTTTCCCCCTGGCAATCACATTCTTTTTAGAACAAATATAAAGCTGAAATTCTCAAAAAACTGGAGCATCAGAGGTTGATCGAGGCAGAAAGGAAGCGGATTGCTCAGATGCGCCAGCAGCAACTGGAGTCGGAACAGTTTCTGTTTTTTGAAGATCAACTCAAGAAGCAAGAGTTGGCCCGGGGTCAGATGCGAAGCCAGGAGAGCCCGGTGCTGTCAGAGCAGATTGATGGGAGTGCTTTGTCCTGCTTCTCCACGCACCAGAACAACGCCCTGCTGAACGTATTTGCAGAGCAACCGAATAAAAGTGATGCAACCAGTTTGGCTGGTCAGTCTCCTCCAGTGAACCGGGCCTTAAAACCAGCTGCTACTCTAAGTGCAGTGCAGAGTAAGTGATGACAGGCTCTCCTGTAAAGACATGCTGGCTCATCTGAGCCCAATTCTGTAGCGTGAGAGAAGGGTCTCGTTCCATTGTTAATTGTTATAGGATACCTGTATGAATACACGACAGGACTAACCTTCCTCGACTCTCTGGTTCTAACTGTATATGAAAGCAGTTCAGAAAGTTCCTGAAAAAAATGTTTCTTTCAGTGCAATGTTTTTTCGTAATACATGGAAAACATTACGTAAAACTATTCTTTTATTTCCATTTTCTGCATAAAATAAGCTCAACATTTTGTTTGATTTCAAAGGCAGAGAGAGACAGAGAGAGATTTTCTTCTGCCCCCAACGGCTACAACAGCAAATGCTGGAGCAGGCCACGCCAGGAGCCTGCAGCCCAGTCCAGGGCTCCCGCATGGGTGGCAGTCCCAAGTACTTCAGCTATCATTTGCTGCCTCCCATGGTGCACATCAGCAGGATTGAAATGGATTGCTAGTGGAGTAGCTGAGACTTAAACCAGGCGTTCTGGGAAAGATGCTGGCATCCCACGGGGGACTTAGCCACCAAACCAAGTGTCTGTCCCAGCTCATACTTGTAATTGCGTTTTTCCATGAACATGCTGAATCGCCCTCATGCAACCTTAAAATTCAGGAAGTATGCTTTGTCTCTGATAGAACAGAGACCTTTAATAATACAACTGTATTTTGTTGATCGACAGAGGTTTGGAATGAGAGTGCCATACATCTCTTCCATGTGTTTTAAATAAGAAACATATGCATCTTAAAGGTGAGTCCTTGCCCTGGAGAGGACAGAGTGAGGAAACTGCCTAGACCTTTGCTCAGCCACGTAAGCTTTACGCTGAGTGGGTTCAGAGGAACTCTCATACACTGACAGCTAACCTCTTGCCGGGGTGTGTGTTCCTGCCAATAGGAGCTGCCCCTTGTTGTTGCTACATCAGTGCTGGCCAGTTTCCCAAATCAAGGAGGGATTTATTCCTACCACACACTGTCAAATGGAGTTTGTGGTCTCATTTTTTTTTAATTAGTGAACAACCATCTTCTAAGTTACTTACTGCTCATGATTATAAAAAATGCTGTGCCTTTTCTTCCTGGTCATCAGCTTTCATGCAGATAAAATAACGGCGTCTTTCTGGATATGACATATGTAAATAGTTTAGCCAAACGTGCTTACATGTTTCTACTGCCTTTCTGAACTAATTTGTTGTAGAAGATATATTTTTTTAAAGTGTTTGTTTCAAAGGAAGAGAAACCCACAGAGAATAATTCATTTCCTAAATGAATAATTTAATGGCCATGATTGAGCCAGGAGCCAGGAATTCATTGCAGGTTTCCCACATGGGAGGCGGGGACCCACGTACGGAAGCCTTCATTAGCTGCATCCCAGGGTGTGCAGTGGCAGGAGTCTGGGACTGGAAGCCAGAGACAGTACTTGAACCTGGGCAGTCTGCTCAGGGCACAGGTGTCCCCATGAGTCTGCTGTATCAGACGTCCACCTCACACAATGCAATTTCACCTCATCCTATTCAATGGCTTCTGTTGGAGGGTTTTTAAATAGAACATAGGAAATGCAGTGCCTAATTTGATTTTAAAAGTTTTTAATCTGACTGCATTTTCTGCTGAAAACAGTTCTCACGGACAGACTACAAAGTTTGTTTTCTTACTGTTTTCCCCTTTCTTGTTTCTCAGATTTAGTGGTTGAAGGGCTGCGATATGTAGTTTTATCGAGAGATCTTTGCCATAAATTTCTGCAGCTGGCGGAATCCAATACCCTGCGAGGCATAGAAACCTGTGGCATCCTCTGTGGAAAGCTGGTATGGCCCTGCTCATCTCTTTCTGGCAGCACAGCCTTTCTTGTGGCTAGGCCTGATGGAATAAAAGCATGCTAAGACTTGTGAATATTACCAAGTTACCTTTACGTAGATCATAAAATCAAGGTCATGATGGGTAGAACTAATCTTAAAACATGGTTTATGAAATGTCAGGAACATTACAAGAGCTTGTTATGGAGAGTCAAGTCAAACTGTAAATCTTTGGAACAATTTAAATTACAGATCTACTTTCTAATCCAAATCCCTCTTTCTATGCAACTGTTGCAATAGTTAGTTGACTAACTTCTTGACTCAACCTGTGGCAAGTGTCATACATCGTCCTTTTTCACATGTACAAATGATAAAACTAGGGCTTCGGTGTGTCCTTTAGAGTAAAGCAATTGTCTCAGCAAGCTAACCTCTAAAAGCACAGGTCAATGTTGGAAGATATCAAAGTAACCATAAAAGAGAATGTCAAAATAGAGGTCAAAGAGAGAAGACTCAATTTCCTACCTGAAGCAGATGATTGTGTTTCTTTGGAAGTATCCCCCTCATGGTCTATTTCTGAGTCCAGGCACATTTTCAGTGCTCAACATTGAGCTTAAATGACATGTTTTATTCCTTACACCTTCTGTTGTATTCCAGCATGTCATCACCACCTCCCCTGCAAGAGAGAGAAAGATACTGGTGACAGGTGTAAGAGAATGTTCCCCTGCAGTCACTGCCCTACAGGCATCATGTGTCATCGATGCTTCCTCCCCTATGTCATGGGTCAGATTCAGTTTGATGCCTTCATCACACAAGCATTTACTGTGCATGCCCTGGCACTGTGCAGGGTGTTGGCATCCAGTCTCTATAACAGCCCCAGTCTTTGCCACATGATGCCTTCATGGTTTTTGTGAAGAACTAGACAGGTTGGTTGTAAGGTTACCTGAGTGCTCTCAGTGGAATTGCAAGGTATCATGGAAATGTCTAACTGGGAATCTTAACCAAGTTGTTGAGTAGTGGCCAGGAGGGTTTTGCAGTGAATGGGAGTTTAGCCTGAGGAATACATAAAACAGCTGAGAAAGAAAGGATTGAATGGAAGAAGAGCTGCCCTCAGGGCTTAAGGCATAGCTCTCTGCAGCACTGCGTCATAGGCTAGAAGGAGGAATGTTGGGAAGGACAAGCTTGCCCTGGGGGAAGACAATATTTCACCCTGCAACCTTCTCTCACTGAAGATCCCATCCCACTTCACATCCTTCTTCCTCTTGGTTCTTCTCTTTTTCTAAATTGCAGACCCTAAAGATTTTCTGCCTTGTGGAAGATTTTAGTCCATTTGCTCATAATGAAAGTAGTGAATTGAAAGGTCAAATGAAATTAAAACAACACCATCAACCTCCACATACCTACAGGAACACGACAGAGTTATTTAATGACTCTCTCACTTTCTCACTGCTTCCCATCTAGTATGCCTTGGCACTCTGTGTTAGGTAAACTTCCATCTCTGCTGCCCACAGATTCTAGTTCCCATGTATGGGTTGGTTTCTAGTACAAAGTAGCTTTCAAACTACAAATAACTGATTCTCAAATTTGTTGTAAATAATACACTTTTTTATTTGAAATATTATTGTTGGATTAAATTATTTTGAATTGTGATGAGAGTGTGTGTGTGTGTGTGTGTGTGTGTGTACAAGGGTCGGTGACAATGTGTATGGTAAAAGCTGCTTGTTCTTGTAGCAAAGTACTGAACATGTTTGTTTGTTTCTCCTGTCATGTGTTTGCTGTTCTTTCTGCTGATTGTCTTTTAGACACATAATGAGTTTACTATTACCCACGTAATTGTGCCAAAGCAGTCTGCAGGGCCAGACTACTGCGACATGGAGAATGTTGAAGAACTGTTCCGTGTTCAAGACCAATATGACCTTCTCACTCTGGGATGGATCCATGTACGTTGGACCTTTTGGGTTTCAGGTGATTTTGTGCTGGCTATCTTTCTCCTGGAAGAAATTTAGCTTACTTTAAATAATTTCTTGTTTTTAATCTTTTCAAGTGTCCTAAATACAGTCAGATGGAAGCACTTTCTTCCATGCTAGGCTTACCTAAATCGGTCAGATTTCAGTTTGTGTGTAGCCAGAAGCTTGAAGGGTTTTTTTATATGCTAATTCCCATTCTTTCTTACCCATGTGCTTGTTGAGTAACTATGTGAGATCCAAACACCTTAACCAGCTCAGAGACTAATTATTCCCACTTACAAAGAATGGCAGTGATGTGGTATATTTGGTGAAAACTTTGTTTTCCTGTCCATGGTTTTGTATATGGGATCTCCAATCTCAGACCTCTTCATCTTATCAGCTGTGTGACCATGCGTCCTGGTTTGCAAAGCCAGGACAGTAAAATTGGTTTTGCACAGATGTGGTGTGATGATTACATGAACATCTCCTCCAAGTTTCTGGCAAGCGAATTTCCATGGTTTTGTTTTCCACCAAGAAGAAAGTACATTAAAACTCCTAGGAAGCCCTTCTAGAGTCATGGTGACTCCAAAGAATCAGATGCAAATGCATAAAGGGAAGGCTTGTGCTAACAAAATCTGTACTTTTTAAATCCTTATGTAACTGTGACTAATGATGGTAAAAGGAGGAAAAAAACAAACAAGTAGGATTTTGTCTTAGAACGGACTGCGTCCTGGCCAAGTCTCGGCTGCCCTAGTAAGAGTGTGCACTTTTCTCTCTGTAGACACATCCCACTCAGACAGCATTCTTATCCAGCGTTGATCTTCACACTCACTGTTCTTATCAGCTCATGTTGCCAGAGGCTATCGCTATCGTCTGCTCACCAAAACACAATGAGTAAGTGTAGCTGGGGCGGGTGTAGGTCCAAGGAAATCTTTGTCTGGGGCTGCTGGGCTCATGGGTGTCCACCTGTACACTGGGTTGTGGCACTTGGGTCAGCAGGCACAGGATGCCCTTGGGAAAAGGAGCCCTTAGTGCGTGCGTGGAGCAGGGCTGCTAACCTCGGTGGTCCTCAGTGTCTGCATCCTTGACACCTCCCCATCTTGGACTGATTGATGTGAACATGAAATGAGCTGATAGTTAATGTCAGTAAATGATAACTTGGTGTCTAGTAGCACAGAAAGCACTCAGAAAATACTTGCTGTTGCCACAGACACTGTTAGCACTATTGGGAAAGTTAGAACTAGCTGTCCCATGTCGCTTCCCCCAGGCCTCAGCTTCTCCTCCATGGGCTCATCACCTTAGCGCAGCTTGCTCCTTCCTGGCATGGTCTGCAGGTGCTTGGGGACAGGATGACGCCTCCTTCTGGGTTTCTCTCCTCCAGCCCTGTGATCAAAAGATGGCTGTAACAGAAAAAAAGAATCACTTGAAAGTGCTAGTTTATGAACATTCTTTATCCTCTCTGAGGGCTGTGTACACCGTATTATTCAAATAAAGCACCTGAGGAGCCCAGAGGGTGCTTAATTTTTTTACTTTTCTTTTCTCCCTGAAATTCAGCACTGGCATCTTCAGGCTCACCAACACTGGCATGCTTGAGGTTTCTGCTTGTAAAAAGAAGGGCTTTCATCCACACACCAAGGACCCCAGGCTGTTCAGCGTGAGTACATGGGGATGGCCATCTTGCAGCTACTTATTTTTCACTGCCTTCCTCCCCCTACTATGCTAGGAGAAGCAAGGACAGTCTAACAGGGGTTAAAATGTACTGCTTAGTGTGCAGTCTTACTCTCAAGATAGTAGATGACCTCTTGTAAGTAATCTCTGATTTCCTATCACTAATATTTTACTAAAAAGGACAACCCAGTTTTCTCTAGCGGAGTTGATGAAGCATAAAGTTACCTCTCCCTGTATGTATTTGTCTGATAGTAAGTTTGCTGCAGAGCTCAAATAAGCAAAGACTTGCTAGACAAATGCCTCAGGAATTCTTACTGCTTCATATGGCATAAGTGAAGTCATACTTATGGTTAGTTTCGTATAACCCAAAGGAAACATTTTGTATAATTATTAAAATGCATTTATTTGAAAGGCAGATTAGAGAGAGACAGCAAGCATGCTTTGATCTACCGGATCTTTCTCCACGTGTGCCACTTGGACCTTTATCCCTGCTTTTCCTGGCTAGTTGGCAAGGAGCCGGTCTGAACGTAGAACTAGTGCTGGGGCAAGAACCAGCACTCCTCTGGGATGCTGCTGGCTTAGCCAGCTGCACCACAATGCTGGCCCCTAACTACATCTTCTCTGTTTGCTTGGAAGTCCTGTGGAAGTAACAGTAATATTTTGAAGGAAGAATTTATTTAAAATGGAAGTTAGCTGGTGACCTCAGTAAATATTGTTGAAAATTAATGAAGAAGATTAAAAACAAATCTTTATAAAATTAGAAAAATAGGTTTATTTGGAAATGCACACTCTGTCTCTAAAGAGAATCACATTTAAGTTTTATTGTGTAAACTATTTTTTTCCTTTCCTAGATATGCAAACATGTGTTGGTAAAGGACATGAAAACAACTGTGTTGGATCTGAGGTGATCTGATCTGAGCAGAGCGCCATCAACACCCAACTCCCACCCACGGACATGTGGCTGCTGGATTTTCTTAAGATGTTTCCAGAAATGACTGATATTTTATATTTATACATTTTAGATCAGAAAGTTTGATATTTATTGCTCTTGCATATTTTGAAGTTTTCTTTGGGGATCGATGTGTCTTAAGAGAGACCACATGGTATTAAAACAGTACCCAAGTCCACCAACCTGACAATAAATTGTGCTGCAAGCAACAGGATGCCTAATATTTACAAATCCTCTACGTATGGTCTCAAAGCTTCAGATGTTCCATGATATTTGTGTTTATTCATGTAAACTGTGATTCCCAGCAAGTAATTCTGAGTAATGGTCATCAGACATTCTGTTACTGCAACTTTTTCCTGTGAAAAAAAGGCAAGTAGTTTCCACCTGAGAACGGGGTCGCTGCAGTAGGAGGAGCCCATACTGCGTTTTCCATGTCAACCAGTCCCATGCCCAGAGAGAGAAGTCTGCAGTGAATTCTAGTGGAGGACCCCAGAACAAAGGGCTCTGCCTTGGGGATCAGGTGGGCCAGAGGCAGCACTGGGTTCATGGACTTGAATCGGAAGACTAAAAGCAGAGCAGCTTGGTAGAGGAATGGGGCAAGGCTTATAAAAATCAACAGGGTGGAGGAGGGGAAAAATGAAGCATAGGGAATAACTGATCATTCTTAGCCAAAATAATTGCAATGAATATTTTAGACGTTTAAGTCTTCTATAGAAGCCACTGCGTAAAGAATAGCAATGAAATAAACCTGAAGCTGAACTGGTGACAGAAATACTATGTTCTGATATTACTAAGTCTTGGAATGACACTTAGGACTTGGAACATTGGAGCAAAAGAGATGACAGAAGGAAAGAAATACAGTTGGAAGTTGAACTGGTAAGGACAACCACGATAGAATGCTGACACTATCAAATATAAGAGATACATGCAAGTGCTGTTGTTGAATACCGAGACTAAAGGAAGATTCTGTTGGACACTCAGTGAAGACTGAACCTGCAGGCAACGTCGTAACCTGGACAGAAATAGCTCCCAGGTCCCAGGAGGCTGCTAAGCTGGTTGTCCTTGGATCATCTTTTTGTTTCCCCTCTCTTTCCCTTATGATCATTAATCTTGCTTCCTTCTCTTTTCTTTCTAACTTTCAAGTTTTATTCTCCAACCATGTCTCCCTGGATCTCCAGATTTTCCACCTAGTGAGGCCAAACTAATTAAATCTACCTTTCTCTCTTTCCGACATCTTGTACCTGAGCAGCTTTCCAAGACTCCACTTTCCTCCTGCATTGTCACTGAACTTCCTAAGCAACTCATCCTTGCACGCTAGCTCCCACCTGCTGTAGTGATTTCTGTGTTCCAAGGAGGGATATTCTCTGAGCTGTATGCTTGGATGAGGGCATGTTCCTGCCCACTTCTCACTTTGGCTGAACTGGCATCATGCCATGCAAACGCTGCTCAGTTCTCCTTTATGAAGAACCTGTTAAGGATAGTTCAATGGCTAGTTTGTGTTTTATGGTAATTTGCAGTTCAGAAAGTGTATGTCTCACACTTCCGAGGTAGAACTGGACTTGCCCTGTGCAGGGAGTTGAGTCTAGGGACCCCCAAGTGAAAGGCCAGTGGGCTGCTTAGGCTCCCCACTTCTGTCTTCAGTTTCTTAGCATTTGAGAACACCACGCTACCATGACATACTTGCTCAAAGTAAATGATTATATAATTTATTTGAGTAACGATAACTGTTAGGATAAGGGATAAATGAAAATTAAGTAATTTCTTCTGCTGGTACAGTTCAAAGATGCAATAATCAGCCAGGAAGATGAAACCACAGAGGTGTCTGATAGAAAACCTGTATATACTGAATGGTGCCTCCAGATAGAAGGGACTGAGTTGGCAGCCGTGAGCACTTAGCACCTGAGATTTCCAGCGTGAACAGAAACAGAAGCTATGAGTATGCAAAACCAACTGTGTTCCCCTTGAAAAGCCAGTTAGAAGACAATCCTTTCTTTTTCGATAACTAAAGCAGTAAATTGTAGCCACAGAGCAGGGAGGTGCAGTTGGCAGTTTTACTTCCTTCTAAAGAGAGACAATACCTCCAGTTGGAGGTAAAATCTAAAGGTCATTTTTGAAGGGGGTGGAATTGTTTATTGCCAAAAATCAACAGAATTAGCCGGGACTTCCCAAGAGACCTATTCTGAGAGCTGGACTCGTGGAAGCCATGGACCTGTGCCCTTGCCTTCCTTGCCTGGCAGGAAGAAGCAACAGACATGCAGGCACATCATTGAAGAAACTAAGCCCAGGCTAGTCAACCTGGAGGCTGCGCGTGCCTGAGTGTATCCTTGTCCAGCGTGTTCTGGGAGGAGCCTCTGAGAGGTACCACAGCTTACTGTTACAAGTGTTTCGGTCCTGGGGCTCCCCTTGGCCACTTCCTTGTCTCCTAAAGCCAAGAGAGTTCCACTGCTTTTTCAGTTTTGTTTTTCTGTAGAAATTTCAACCAATTAAGCCTGAGCTTTCTTACTTTCTAACACTACTCTGTTTGCACACTGTCTGGCGTCCAGCACATTTTCATTATGGATTGGAAGGGACTGATTCAGACTCCATTGTTGGAGTCCTTAAGTAAGAGTTTTTGGAGGTCATTAATCTAAAATGGGCCACTAGAGGGCCCTGCACCACTGTATTGGGTGTCCTTATGAGCAGAGCTTAGAGAAAACACAGAGGGAAGATGGCCAAGTCACAGGCCGGAGAGAGAGGCCTCAGTAAAAACTGGCACATCCATCACCTTGACGTTAGATTCCCAGCCTGTGGAACCCCGAGAAAGTAGATTTCTACGTGTGCCATTTGGTTATGGCAACCCCTGAAAGAAAAACAAAATGCAGTTCTGGATAAATATCCACTGATCACTGAAATTGTTCCTGGATTTTGTTCAGTAAGATTTAGTTTGTGGAAATTTGTCTTTTTTTTTTTTTTTTTTGAGGCCATCCTAGATTCGTTCGGCTCTGTCTTCCCAGTTTTTCCCGTGTTGCAGCCGCTTCCAGTTGTGCTGGACACTGTGGCTACAGTTGCTTGACCGTAGATGGAGGTTCCTGTTATGAAACCAGCCTAAATGGATGCAGATGTGCAAAGCAGATGTTTCTGTTGTGGCACTTCCTGCAGAATGTCTCCTGTGAAGAGGGGTCTTGAGAAACCTTGTGTGCTTGATGATGACAGAGGAGGTGAACTGTTACTTGTTGTGAATACAGGGACTATGCAAAGACTTCATCCCTATCCCTTTAGGAAAAATTGTTTCCTTTTCAATACCTTGACTGCCCACCCTGCAAGAATATATCTTCCTTGGGGACAACTAGCAAAAATATTACTTAGGGAATCATTGTACTTATGGTGAACCATGTAGAGATTTACCTAAAAATTCACCAAACTGATATTGCAGAGGCATTATTATTATTTTTTTAGCTACTCAAAACTTTGTCTTAGTTTGGGCTGCTATTGCAAAAATAGCATGAACTGGGTGGCTTCAACACCAGAGCTTGTATATCTCATGATGCTGGGGACTAGGAGTCCAAGGTGCAGGCAGAGAGCAGGGTCAGCTGCCCTTGTTGCCCTGTGTCCACATGGCAGAGGGAGAGATTCCCCCTCCCAGGTCTCTCAGGACACCAATCCCATGCTGAGGCTCTGCGTTCACGAACCAACGAGCCCCCAAATTTCTCCCTCCGGGGATGACTTCAAGGTAGGAATAATAGTCCGTAGCAAGGCATATACCCCAAACTACCTTGTTTGTGCATAGACTGCCACAGGGAGGCTGCCAGCCATGCCCTTACGTATGAAGGATATATTTTAGAAAGTGCCCAGGGCGGGCATTTGGCTCAGTGGTTAAGGCTTTCTGTCCGCGACGTGCGTATCTCATGTGTAACTGCCTGGGTTTGGGTCCAAGCTCCACTCCCTGGCTTCTTGCCACCCGTGGAGGCAGCCAATGATGGCTCCAGTGTTTGAATTCTTCCCGTCTATGTGGGAAACCTAGGCTTTTTTGGACTCCCGGTTTTGATCTGGCTTTTGCAGGGATTTTGGGAGTAAATCAGTATATGGAAAATCTCTCTACTCCAGGGGGTATTGGGACAAAATATAATCTACATTCTGTCATTATGGATTTATCTGTGATATTTTTGTTATTTTACATAAATGGAATCATAATATGTGAGCTATGGTATCTGCTATTTTTCTCTTAGCATATGTATTTAAAGGTTCCTCAAAGTTATAGTATGTGTCGGTCCTGTCATTTTTTTTTTCATTGCTAATGTCCCATCACATGTATGTATTAGGCTGGTGTATTGGTGGACATCTGAGTTACTTCCCATTTGGTTGTCACAGACAGGAGTGCTGGAAAGACAGGAACATGTACTCAGTTCAAGTACTTTAGTACTCGCTTTCAAGTCCTTTGAATGCGCACTCGGGAATAGACTCACAGGACCATATGGCAGCTCTGTATTTAACTTGCTCTTTTCTGCAGCAGCTGAGCCATTTTACATTCTCACTAGCTGAGTACAAGGGTTCCAATGTTTCCACACCCATACTGATACTTTTTTCTATTTATCATAGCCATCCTAGTAGGTGGGAAATGGAGTTTTTGAATGAACAACACATGATCCAAGCTTACTTATTTCAGAGCAGGACTTTGGTCATAGAATAGAGGGGATGCTGAGGATGTGCCTGAGGCATCCAGGGCTTGCTTGCTGTCCTTATGCTCCTTGCAGTGGGATGCCTACCTCAGGCTTGCACCACGCTCACTGGCACCGTGTTTAGGAGAACTGAACACCATCAAGCACAGTCACTTTCGGAGGGTAGGAACACGCGAAAGAGAACATGTCACCGGAGCCAACCATGTAGCACTTCAAAATACTACTGTTATGTTGCATTCAGTCCAATGATTTATGCATTCATAAGAGGAGACTACATTAGCGCCTCTATCTGCAGTTATAGGCTTTTGTTTGTTAAAGGGCAAGAACTAGTTAGCAGTTGACAGAATTTACCTGTTTCGTGTATTTTTGCTTGAGTAGATAATATATTTTCTTTTAAAAGGAAGGCTTGAAATGAAATGATTTTAGTACATTTCTTAGGGAGTTTGAAGTTGTAACCTACACAGGGAAAGCTGAATTGGTGTGTGAAGACAGAAGAATAAAGTTCAAAACTAAATGTGGAAGGAAACAGAAACACGATCTAAGAAGTCTATGAAAAAAAAAAAAACAACAACCTTGATTTGATGTGTCTACAAGATATCCTACTCCCCTCCCCCCCCCAGATCGTAAATCTAAGAGCTCAGTCTTAAAGGGGTGCCATTCAATTCTGTGCAGTAACCCACCTTATCACCAGCTCTCAGCATAGTGGATCCCTCTCACTGGGCCTTCCACAAGGGAACATCCTGGAAGAGCTGATGTATAACAAAACATTATAATGTGATTCAGACATTTAGTTCCCTGACTTGGGGTGAGGAATTTAACCTCAACAGCAAAGTGCTTAAGAGTGGGAGATTAAGCAGAAATCTCACTCGTCGTTTCTTTCATTGCTTGCAACTGGTATTTCACAGAGCCACTGCTGCAGATCCTGCAAAATCCTAGTGAGTCAGCGACAGCTCTCGGGGCGAGGGCGTGTGTGGTCTGAGTCTCTGCGTTTCGAGTCCCATGTGTGCAGCACTCGCTGGCCTCCATCTGCACGTCTCCAATGAACATGCTGATGGGCCAACTTGATTTCGCCCAGTCCTCCCCCAGACCTGCTTTTTAACTCTTCCTCTTGTTCAGCACTTGTGTCCCCATCAGAGCTTCTCCTGAACCCACGGCTCAGGTCAGTAAAGCCTGTTTCCCATATATTTCTTCTGCAATCCTTCCGATATTTGCTTGTCTGCTGGCTTCATGTCGGCTTCCTCCCTGGACTGTGAACTTCATCCAGGCAAACCATGCCCTGTCTTCTTCATTTCCTTCAACCCTGTCTGCTCTGACACGTAAAAGCCACATCTCAGGCTGTCCCAGTCCCTTTTTTGGGTCTCATATGTTGAATAACACCAGCTACAGCAAAGGCTTCTGGGCAGACTGGGCATGCTTTGGCCCAGATAACCTCCCTTCTCTACCATCAGAAAAATTTCAGGCTGTTCTGTATTGAAATTTTTACTAAGGAGAATTCTCAGGCTGTGAAAATGAGATGTGCTTTCACTAAAAAGAAATGACTGGAAAATGCATCTTCTCAGCAAAGGCAACATGGTGTTGATTAATGTTGGAAACTCATGCCATGTTTAGAGTTTCAAAAGCCAGTAATGGGAAAATCAGTGGTCATAAGAGAGGAATGTTCCTTGGTTTGCTATTGTGAGGCCAGGGAAGAGGGTCAAGAAAGCAAGCAGCTCTCCAGGTTGCTTCCTGGATGTTCTGTGCATCTCATCAAGGACACTCTGCCACTTGTGGAAAGTCCAGCCCTCCGGTCAGCGGGCATTGTGCAGACCCAGAATGAAAGCTCTGTGGCTGAAGGTAGAGTGTGTGTGCATTGCAGGGAATGGGCATTCCACCAATGCACATTCGACGCGTCCTTTTGGTTTTCCTGATTTTTGCCACTGGATTTGCCCATGTCCATGGCCCGGCCATGCCAAGCTTCCATTCCTTTACTGGAGAGTCTGCGCCCTCTGGCGGTCAATGTGGAGCACTCCAACACAATGGGTCTGTCTTGCCTTAACTAAACCCTGTAGTGGCGATGGCTGGTGATTTTTGTCTAAATTAGGAAAGTGATCTGTTTCCAAGAATGACCATTGACTTTAACTAGTAAATGTGGAATGCCTTTATCTGGCTAGTATGAACTTTCAGCTGGAAGATTTCCTGTCATGTTTATAATGTTTTTTGACATGCATAAGCAGTACTGGTCTCATAAGTGAGAGTGAGACTAAGCATTTAGAACCAAGTTCAAGAAGCAGCAAGTTCCTGGTCCGGTGTGGTAGCCTAGCAGCTAAAGTCCTCTCCTTGAACACATCAGGATCCCATATGGGTGCTGATTCTAATCCTATCCAGCTTCCTGCTTGTGGCCTCGGAAAGCAGTCAAGGACAGCCTTGGGACCTGCACCTGCAACCAGAGACCTGGAGGAGGCTCCTGGCTCCTGACTTCTGATTGGCTCAGCTCTGGCCAATGTGGCCGTTTAGGGAGTGAATCAGCAGGCAGAAGATCTTTGTCTCTTCTATCTGTATATCTGACTTTCCAACAAAAATAAAATAAATCTTAAAAAAAGAAACAGCAAGCTCCTAACACTGCATCCAATAAACAAGGCATTGAGTAGGACTCCATAATTACCAAAAGCTGCAGTTACTCACCCGTGAAGATGCAGCAGTCACATCAAGTCCACAGGGCTATTGTAGGACAAGAGATCCTGACACAGCACGGCCCAATACCTGCTTGGTGGCAAGCTCCCAGGACAGGTCAGCTCTCATTAGCAGTAGTCAACCTAATTAGCTACAAGACCAGGGAGGACTAGGGAAGCCTGAATTTTCTAGACCAAATGAGCACAAAATGCTGGGCTCTCTCACACCTCGGGGTGGCTGATGACTGCTAGCCCCACTTGGACATTCACAAAGCAAACAAGCTGGCAAGCCACCACACATGCCCAACGGACCGGGCAGAAAAGCACACAGAACCTTAAATCCTTAAAGGCAGAGAAGGCCTTTTTCATACCTTTGTAGCTGCCAGACTGTATGTTTCTAGAACAGCCGCAGTCTCCTCATGAGCTGGTAGTAGGTTCCCCGCAATGGAGCACATGAGAGACGATAAACGGGTGGCCTTGCAAAGCAATGCTCTCCCCCACAACC